ATGGAGGTATTTACAAAATATACGAGGGACTGATGAAATTGATGGTGACTGATTTTTTTTATATAAAAATTGATGCATGTTAGGAAGCATTTTCTATACATTATTCCAACTAGTGAGAAGCATTTTCTATACATTATTCCAAATGTCAAGAAAACCTGATGGATGCATAGATGAAATAGGAATTGGAGATATGGGAAATGTGATTGGGACCTTCACACACTACGCCAAAAATGATTTTTTGTATCACCTAATTTAATAGCACTTTTAAAAGAAATGCTATTAAAATGGAAAAAACACATTTATAATAGCACTTTTTAATCGGGCGCTATTATATAATACAGACTATGTAATTTTGATAGCACTTTGTACCAGAACGCTATTATTAAACTTCTTTAAGATAGCATTTTGTATAAAACGCTATTATTTGACTACCTATATAATAGCATTTATTAAAAAGCGCTATCTTATATATAATAATGAATTAATTAATTAATTGATAAAATAAAAAAAAAACACATTTTCAGAAACCTTTCTCTCCTTCCATATCTGATCCACTTTTCTCAAGCTCCCGTCAAAACCTCTACATCATGAACCCTAGAAAGCTAAAGTATGGAATTAACCGGTAACGAAGCTTGCAATCACGCTATTGGAAGAGGAGAAATGTTTAGAGGATCCTAAACTACTCCGTGGTATAAAGAAAGCTAAGAGAATTTGAGGAAAGGACTAACTTGTTGGCGGCGGTTATCGTGTTGGAGAGGAAGACGAAAGAATCGAAAGAAATTAGATCTCTCAGGTACGATTCAACACTTCCGGCTTTACGTTTTCACCTCTACCTTCTTCTCCTTTTTGCTACTCGTTCTCTACTTCTTTTTCTTGCGTTCTTCATGCACTAATTCTGCGTTGTTGGTGCGTTCTATTGTAGATTCTTGATGTTGTTTCTGAAGTAATGAACAAAGATGTTGCGATGATGATGACACTTGCAGATTCCGAAAGCGGAGATGAAAATTGAAGGTTCTGCCCCCATGCTACAGAGATGAAGATTGCAAGAGGAAGTAGAGAGAATTGAGAGAGATTTCTTAGATAGGGTTCCGAGAAGAATGGTGAGTGTTTTTCTCTAATTTTTCTGTGACTTTTTCTGGTGTATCTACTTAATTTTTGTTTCATTACATTCCCTGCTACATCATTCAATTTGTTGGTTGGATTATCATGAAAATTTAGTGACGTGAAATCTCATGCATACAATAGATTTTGAAAAGACCAAATGGTATTCTCTTTAAGTTATCTACTGGTGCTGCCAGATAAATCGCCAGAAAGTGCACTTCCACATGAAACTGATCCCGTTTGTGATGTGCTGTTAGCTCGAGCTTTCAGGAACTGTCGTATCCGGAAAGCGTCGCGAGGAGGTGGTTGGCTTTGGAGAGATGTAGCATCATCATCTTCTTGTCCTAAACATTATAATAACAAATATCAATCATGTTAAAATTGGAGTTTGATTTCAACACTAGAATAAGAAAAGCTAAAAGCACATTCTTGTATATTTGATGAATTGTGTGATTGTGTCTATTGTAGAGAGCTTATAGAAATAAGTCCAAAAATGGATTATGCACATACTGTCTAATTCTTTTCTTTTCCCATAATGGTTGCTACCAGAAAGTTCACTTGTAGCAGGAGCAGGACCTCCTGGCAATTGCGATTGAATCCCAATTTTACCACTTTGTCCCATTGGAAGGTCGTTCTGTAAGCAAATCGATAGTACGATATCCACATTTGGAGTTGGACCTGTATATTTCAATACACAGTTATCGAATGCGTTTAGATATACTTTAAAAATAGAAGAGTACATAGGTGTCTGATACGTATCTGATACTGATATTTCTCGATACATATCCAAAAAGTATACTTTTGCTGTTTCTAGATTGCATAGTTAGCAGAAATATTGAAAATTACCATAAACTGTGGGTAGGTTTGCTAAAAATGCAACCAAAGCAGGTGGTGTAGCTTTAAGAATTTCATCAAATGCATTTGTGCCAGCACCTGTACCCGGATTCTGCTTTGGATCATATACCAACATCTTTGAAGTATCAGGATAGACAACCTTTGATGACATATTTGAAATGTTTGCAGCAAATTCTAGCATGTTTGCTTTTGCTAAATCATCAAAACTACCATGTTTGACTTGTATTACACACATTCTAGCATTCCATACATGTCTTCTTGGTTCTTCAGTTTCTGATTTATGTATGATTTATTGCTTGTCCAGATCACTTTTCTGAATGCGTAGAGAATCATGCATTTGAAACTTATGACAAATTTATCAAGGAACAAGGAGGTAATTTCAATATTCTTTCTTTTCTTCTCTGTATTTTTAAGATTTTAATTATACATGTTAACAGTTTATAGCTTTGGTTTATGTTTTCATAATTAAGTGTGGTCCAGTAAACCATCAGATTATACTTAATAATGCTCATGAATCATGGTTTTTGGTATGAAATCAGCTGTCGGTGAGCTGTTAGCTGAGTATAGCTTGAAAATTGACAAGCCAAGATTATTCAAGCTGTGTAGAAAATTGGTTTTTTGTTTTGTTTTGTTTTAAACTAGTTCTTTTTTGGCATTCTTTTGTCAAATTCATCTTTCATTATGTACTGTTCTTGTCCTACATTATTCAATAGCTAACATGATTTGGTAAATTTTTTATAGAGGAATTGAAAAAAATGTCGGCTCCTGAGGTAGCTGTGAATTATTATATGGGAGATGACTTGTATCTATTTGGTAAGCTCTTCATTATTTTGACCTAAATTTGTTTACTTGAGGCAAAAAAACCGACATTTCACACTTTCAATATCATTTTTTTCAGATGAATTTCAAACTTCCAGAGTTCCAAATACTAGAAGGCCTAAGATAGGTATAACATATGGTGATGAATGTGAACATCCCAAACCTCATCCAGAGCCATACTTGAAAGGCCTTGAAGCTCTAAAAGCATCTAAAGATCACACGTTTGTATTTGAGGTCTGTTTGTTTCTTTTCTCTGCATTGCTATAGATCTGTTCTTATTATGCTTCTGACAGATCCATGTTGTTGTCGTAGGATTCTGTTTCAGGAATCAAAGCTGGTGTGGCTGCTGGGATGCATGTTATCGGTTTATCTACCCGAACCCCAGAGCATTTGCTGATGGGAGCAAAACCCACCTTTCTGATTAAAGATTATGATGATCCAAAATTGTGGGCAGCTCTCGAAGAACTTGACAAGTCTGGTTCTCATTAAAGTTTTGACTTAATACTAGTGCGATTCACATAATTTCTTGATTAAAACAAGTAGCATTTTTCATATTAAATTCACCAGATCACCTCACCTGTTTAATTTAGTTACAGGGGGTGATACTATTCTACTACTCTACTACTCCATAATCAGAATTGCTTTGGAGTCAAAGCAAACAAGTAATTTTTTTACTTGTAATTTGCAATAATGTGATAGCTGGCTAGGAAACTTAATGCCAAGGAAATTGTAATATGTGATAGTAAAAGAGAGCGAAGGAGGGAGTGCTTGAAGACTCTTACATATTCATTACTCTTTGTTGGTATGTTATTTGGTGATGGGTGCTCAATATCAGCAATTTTGTACTACTACTTTAAATTGTTTGATATGTATAGTGTCAAATGCCATGATTATTATTTATTACAATACCCTTTATGCCATTTACTTATCTTGTGCCTATTGACCACAATCTTACTAATAATCTTGTGCCTATTGACCACAATCTTACTAATAATCTTGTAAATGGTATTGCTGATAAGATCTTTGACATACTGCATCTTTCCATTACTGAATTGATGACACAAATTTGTAAGGTTGGCCACTAAGCCATTCTCCTCACGCCACTGCTGATCAAGTAAAGTCTCATAATTGTGTTTGTTAGAAGAAGTGTTCTTGTTAGCTTATATGACTAATTTTATATTATGAATCTAACTGTAGTTGAGCATGTCGAAGTTAAACTGAATTCTTGGTGTTCACTTCAGCATTAATATCATGTTCAAATGTTGAATCTTGTTGTTTTGAATTCTTTCAATCCTTGTCCTCTATCATGATTCATGATTCATGAGATTATTGCATTATTGTGTATTGGAGTGAATGAACTGTTGGGTTTTCATTTTTAATAAACATGTTCATCTTGCAATTTGAAATCATGTCAGATCACACTTGTAGCAATGCAGTGCCTATTTTCTTCTCTTGATCAATATGCATAAATTATGAAAATCATATGAAAAATTGATAGTCATTCTTGGTGTTAATTGAATTCTTGGTGTTGATTGAATTCTTGGATACAAATGTTCTGTTTGCTAATATTGTATTTGTAGCTTTTTATGCTTCTAAGTCTGCTGCATTTGTATTATATTAGTATAATATTGAGAACTCGTTTGTGCCACTATATAAGTTTTATTCATGTGTTCATATTTCTAAACTCTTTAGTCCTGTTTTTCTCGGAATTAATATTAACAGGAAGCTCTGGAAGCAGCGAGAGTTCTGAATCTTAAGAGCAATAAATATTTCTCAGGACCATATGGTATAGACTAAGGTCATAAATGAAGATTCTTTATGCAGGTGAATAGAAAGGATACAGAGAAATTTTTCTAAAAAGTGTTTGTTCTGTCAACTGTGTAAATGGAAAGGATACAGAGAATTGTGTAAATGGAAAGGATACAGAGCGACCGGGTTCTGATTTTGAGCTTGTTGCAGTTATTTCTACTTCTATTGATATACTATTACAATTTAAGCTGTAATTTGAATTTATATTGAGAAACGATCACAGTGATGGGATTTGGATCAATCCATCATTTTATGTAACTAGAAAACAGAAAAGTAGGAATCCAACTACAAGGAAGAGGAAAAGGCCGACTTAATCTTGTATGGTTTATTTATTTGTTTTTCATTTTTTTATTGTTATTGCTTCTTAATGTTATTCTTGTATGGTATATAACTTTTTAAATTTTTATAGGTGAAATATGGCTTCTATTGATGATGAAAGTGGTTCGTCTAGTAAGAAAACAGTTGGTAAACATGGTGTGACCCGATTGCAAAAAATTCACAAAGCCAAAAGCAATGGAAAGAGAATTGAGGTAAAATAGCTAGAGTTTTATGATACTGTTTACTCCCTTGGCAATTTTCCTTTTACTGAACTATGTATGAGTGATGGTTACATACATGATTATCTTTTATGAGTTAGTTGTTTGAAACTATTTGAATGTTAAACACTATTAGTGAGACTGTTGATTCTTTATTTGCACTTTAATTTTGTTATAGGTTCAATGGAATTCCAGAGGTCAACCAATCAAGCATAATAGCAAGACTTTTGCTAGTTTCATTGGTGTCACAGTTCGTCGGTTAGTTCCAATAAGCTTGGACAATTGGAGCGCGAAAAAAAATAAAGAGGCTATGAGTTCAACGCTTTTGGATCATGAAGGTGGTTACTACATGGGATTGTTTTGTTATCCTTTCTTATTTTTTTGGTGTTTTGTTTAGAGAATTTGATTGTATGTTTTTGGATTTGGATTGAAGTACTCATAGATGGGCATCTACAAATTTGGCTATGCAAACGCCCTCTTAATATTCTATATGTTATGATATTTGGAAACAATAGGATTTGGTAATTTAAAATGTTATTTGGTATTTGATGGATCATAATATATATGCAATGAGTAACTTAAAGCGTTATTTGTGTTGAATTGAATATAGTTATTTTATATTTACACCAAAAAAAATGATTGTGTAAGAAAAAATATTGTACTGTACTTATTAAAAATATTGTACCAAATATGTACCATTTATTAGCACTTTATTTGAAAGCGCTATCAAACATATGTTATATATTAGCGCTTTTTGTTTAGAGTGCTATAAAAAAACAAACAAAAAACATGCAAAATACTGACTTTGATAGCACTTTAATTAAAACGCTATTATAAATTGGTACTTTAATAGCGCTTTTAAAGTGCTATTAAATAAGAAATATTTACAATAGTGGCGCGGTTAATAGCACTTTTAAGCGCTATCAAAAACAAAAAAAAACGCTATTAAATAGCTTATTTGGCGTAGTGGTACATAAATGAAAAAAACACAGATGAGGAGAATGCAGTATTAAGTGAAGAACTGGAAGTTTTGCTAACATGTGTTGAGCCTAAGAGGAATATGAAGGATAGATATGTATGCATGCATGCATAATGGAGATGGAAGGTTTGCTGTAAAAACCTGCTGCCAAATATTAATAGGCTTGGAAGAAGGCTTGGAGGAAGAAAAAGGTTTGGATGAAGGAACCAAATGGGAAATGAAGGAATCAAGGTTTTTTGGGGGAGGGTGCTTTTGAACAGATTACCAACAAGAGACCAACTAGTAAAGAGAGTAATTATTCATAATGATCATGAAAAGGTGTGTGTGTGTTAGACTTTAGAGACGAATAAACACTTTCACATTTTTTCATTGTCACCTCGCTGTCAAATTTTGGAGCAGGATTCTACAACGGGTAGATATAAAAGAGATTGAGGAAGATGTGTGCAATGAGAACTTCAATGAGAATTACAAGGGAAATTGGCCAAGTATAAAGAAAACACGACCTAGTTAGAATCTGTATGGTGCTTATGATGCAAGAGGAATAACTTCCTATTCAAAGATGAATTTTGTGATGTTAGAGAAATTATAACCAACATTAAGCTAATGGCCTGTGAAATTTTGGCACTTTAAAACATGTTATTATTGATGTCCCAACATCAGAACATAATGTCAAGACAGATGTTGTGACATCTATTGACAAACAGAACTTAACATATCGAAATTGTTACTTATGCATAAATAAATTGCATAATGATAAATAACATAGCTGATTGTTAACCCCGTTCGATGCATCGTCACCTACTCTGTGGGATACAAATCCATGAAGAAAATTCACTATGACAACATTAGTTCAAAGCCTAAACAATCCTAGTTTACAACTTCTCGCTTAATCACTATCTTGTGCAACTTATACCTAGAAACCTTCTAGATATGAGATCCCCCTCTGACTTCCTACCAATCACCTCCGTAATAAACCAGTCACAAACTGCGACAATAACCAAAAATATAATATTACACTTCCAACAAACAATACTCAGTTTTGCTTAAAAGCTTTTTATAGAGAACAATGAACAATACTTGACGTTTTTCTTAAAAGCTTCAAGAGTGAGAACAACAACTTAATAAACAATCAAGTAACAACCAGTCTACCTCATTGTATCAAAAGATACATGAGTGACTTACAAAAAACACAAGAGACTCTCAAAACCTAAGACTCTAAACTTCCCCTAATTTTTACAATTGTGAAAGCCAAATTACATTAGGTTGAGGTTTCTCTTTAAATACACCTCAATAGTCCATGGGCTTTGAAATATTCACCCAAATATATCTTGATTCACACGCTGAGGGCTGCACCAATTATGTAAAAAAATCTTCTTAATAAGACATAAGCTACATGTAAAACATGTAAACTTTGTACAAACTACAAACAAACAAAAATCAGAGATTACATGCAGTTACAAGAATGTCTTCAAAGCTCCAAAAGACATATGTCAAGACATGTGGTCTGACAATACACCAGCACAACTCTAAGATTCGACAGGGATAATACTTCCCCTATCACACATAATGAATCTTTCCCCTCAAGGGGAAAACCTAAATCACCAAAAAACCAAACCTGAACTTCAAGGGGAAAATCCAAATCACAAGAAAAACAAACTTGACCTTCAAGGGGAAACCCTAATCATAAGAAAAACAACCATGATATATCCAAGTTCACACATCAGAGGCACATTCAACATAAGCCTCACACATAATTCAGAAAACCAAACCAATAAATTACTATAGAGTAACCAAGGTTCTCCACAAAACACAACATGCAAGATGTTAGAACATTTGGTAAGACATTCTTCACACAACCACATTAGTAGTAGCAGCAGCAGAAGCATAAAACAAGCATGACCGAATATCATGCTCCCCCTAAATAGTTGCATACAGTAAGCAACCACAATAGAATACTCTTCCCTTAGTAGTAAAATCCTACCAACATGTCAAGATATATGTCAAGACCTCATGACAAATTGACATACTAACACTTTACTCCACTTTTTAGCCAAAAATTGACAAAAAATAGAGTAAATATAAACAACAAAATAAAATCACACGATATCATTAGAAACAGAAAAATATCTGGAATCATAAAAGTTTGATGGAGACACAAATATCAAGGGAAATAAACAGATGGAATCAAAAAATAATGGAAATGAACATAAACAAAAACGTATGAAACGAAACCATTGTTAGGAAATTATTGTAGAACCAAACACTAAAAAAACATTCATCCTTCAAACCAGCCATCCAAACTAACCACCTGAGTCAATAAAATTGACCTAATCTTCATCAACATCTAGGAATGAGTTATGCAATTGATCAAGACTTTTCTTGTAGGACCTCATCTTTGTCACAGACTTTTTCCTTGTCACGAATGCTCCATTAGATTATCTAACCAATGTGTCCACCTTGGATACAACCTTCTTTGGATCAATATAACTATCCTTTTTACTTACAACACCTGAACCTTTTCATCATGAGTCTTTATAGAAAACTGGCTCATGTTGAAACACAAATTGAGAGAAGGGGAAACTAGTAAGGTATTAAATAAAATGAGAGTTTCCTTGTTTGTAACGATACTGTTATTTCCCTAGAGTTATGGTTGGCATGTACTTTGGTAAAACTAAATTGACAGTAACATGTTGAATAAGAAGTTTAGACTTGTAGATTCAACATGTCGAATGTGATGTTCTAACCAAAAGTATATGATATTTGGTCTGTTACATTTTAGTTGTTTGGAAAATGTTTCAACTTACAGTTTCAACATGTCAAATGCGATGTCCTAACCAGAATAGCAGGACATCAGGTCTGTTACAATTTTGTAGTATGGAAGATGTTTATGCTTGCTGTTTGAACATGTCGAATGAGATATCCTAACCAGAAGTATAGGACATCAGGTCTGCTACAGCTGACAGGTTAGATTCAGTTATTGTGAATTAATTACTGAATATTTTGGGAATATTTAGTAATCCTATGTGGCGTCCAAGATTGATAAATCAGAGATTTTATGTTGGTATTCAAGATATTCAAAGTTTCTAAATATGGAGAAATTTTAGGAAAGTTTTTATTGAAGACCTAGTTTATTGGAGAAGTTTCTATAGACTTTGTGTAGTCTTCTTGCTGTGTTTTTTAGGCCCAAATCCATTTAGGAAAAAGGTTATAAATAGAAGCATTGTATCCTAGAAGAAGGTACAAGTCGTGAATGAAAAGATGTAATTATTAGGGCTGAGTCTGTACTTTTCTCTAGGAGAGTTAGTTGTGCGTTCCACTCTAGTTGTGTGTTGGACTGTGTTATAGAGTTGTAATGTCTCTATTATTGTTCTCCTTGAAGCTGTGAAGCAAGAGTGAGTATTATTCTTGGAGGAAGCTTTTAAGTAACTCCAAGTTGTGTTCTTAGTCAAGAGTCTTGGCTAGGTATTATCATGGAAGTGCGTCTTCTAGTTGTTATGTCATGGAAGTGTATCTTCCTGTTTTTGTCCAATCGTTGTCTATGATTGATGAGAGATTGAGGATGGCCTCATTTCTATGCGAGTCTTAGATAAAAATTTAGCACAGGTAGTGGTTAAGTAAGAAGTTGTAAACGGGAGAGTTTAGCTTCGAGTTGATACTATTATAGTGGACTTTATACCTGGCTTGGTATGCCCCCAAAGTACGAGAGTTGCTCCGGACTGGGTTAACAATTCTGTTATGTTGTTTATGCTTTTCAATACTGTTTATGTATGTTTATACCTTGCCTGTGTGTTTTGTTCAGATCAGATGTATCAACATGTCATATGACATATGAAGTCTGATATACTAGAATTTCAATTGGTATCAGAGCAAGCATCCTATTCTGTTTTTGGGTGAGATCCTGGGATGAAACTTTCTGGTCATGAGCATGGAATAAGGGGATTACTAAAAAGTTGTTTGAACTTTGATAAGTTCATATTATGGTTTGAACAGTCCCTATAAGTGAAGGATGGACTGTTCATGACAAGGTGAGTATTGGACTTATCAGTTGTTATCAAGATTGTAGCTTTGGTGGAGAGATGTTTTTTTTAGGGTTGATTTATTTTCAAACCTAGGCTACATTATTGGCACATGGATTATGATGATTGTGTGCAAGGATTATTGAGCTTTGCTTGAAGGTTGTTGAGGAGTTTTTGTTTATTCCGCTGCATGGTATCTCGTGTAAGCCTTAGTGTTCCTTTTGTCTCTGACGGTGATACTTTAGTTAGGTATTTTCTTGGAAGGGCATTAGGGTTTGATCTCCTTAGTAGGGTTATCATATAGTGTTGTGATATATGGAAAAAAATTCAGCTTATTAAAGTTGTCAAAGATACTTGAGGTTCATCTCAAGTCCACTCTTAAATGCATCTATCAATAAGTTTGATGAGAATTTGGAGAAAGATGATCAATGGTGATCATATACATCTGCATGGACATTTCTAGTTTGTGTCTAAATTAGGAAAGTGGTCTTGACCTTGTTGTTATTGGTGGAAGAAGGACTTCCATTGAAGACCTTGAAGGGGATCAAGGATTTTATTGTGTTCCGTGAGAAGGGAACTGATGTCCTACTAGATGTTGGGACATCATGTCAGCAAATGTGTAAGTCCCTGTATAACAGATGCTCTGGGTGCTAAACAATGTGTAATGATCATATATGTTTAGAACCTTCTCCTGATCTAGAAGAGGAGGCAATTGGGTTGTGTGTCTAAGAAGTTTTAGGCCTAGAAACTTGTCTTAGATGGTTGTGTTGATCAAGATATGATCAACATGATGTTTACTCCAATTCATTTCTGATCTAAGAAAGCAAGGGTACAAAGGCTGTGCTGCTATTTAGGGGGAGAATGTATAATTTTCTAAGTGGTTCCTAGCAGCTGTTGAAGGGGAATTTCAAATCTGGAGTTGGAAGACCTTGAAGAAATGCCATACATAATTTCTTGACATTTTTGTATTGAGAATTTACTTTTCTCAATATGCCTGGCTAGTGCTTCTCATAAACACGATGGAGGTTGTTTATTCCAACCTGATATTATCTGTCAAGTCTATAAGAACATGGAACTCTTGTTCTGTTTTAGTAAAGAAATCATCCAAGGTGTTGTGTGTAGTAGAGGTGTATAAACTTGAGTGGTTGATTGGTGTCTGCGTGTTTGGTGTGCCATCCAAACTTTTTGGGATGAGCTCTTCCAATTTTTGAGGCCTGAAGGATTGGAAGAAGCGGTCTGGTTGTGGTATGTTGATGCCTTGTTTGTTGAAGTTTACTCCAGATATACGTTAGAGGAAATCTCCTCTTTAGTTACAAAAGGATGGCGTCTATAACCTCAAAGTTAGACAGGTGGTCTGGACATTATGCTTATAAGGAGAAGATCCTTGAGGTGTGTTATATGCAGGTTACTACATGTGTGAGTGCAACTTCACTATCAGATGTTTTACATAATGTCAAAACTCGAAAAGCTAGCATTTCAGTATGGTGGACAATAT